GTGGGAGTTACCATTAACAATTTCGAAAGAGGATGGAAGGGTCAAAGAGAGTCAAAATTCAGGTGAAAGGCCATGACTAAGAGTGACTAACAGTGTATGAATTTGTACTCTTGAGTGTGTGTGTGTGTGTGTGTGTGTGTGTGTGTGTGTGTGTGTGTGTGTGTGTGTGTGTGTGTGTGTGTGTGTGTGTGTGTGTGTGTTTATGACCGATCCTTGAACCACAGCCATCTGCCAACACCCTGGGCCATCCTTACACTCTTTGGTATCTATTTCCCTGGAAGCTAACTTCATCTGTGTGTGCGTGTGTGTTGTTAGTGACAACAGCAATATAGAGACATCAAATACGTCCTCACACAACTTAGCACAGAGTTGTCTTTGACATCATGTCTGTCTTGCTCTTTACTCTCCACACATTTTGGCCTCAGTTTGTTTTATATGGCTGTCTGTTCGCCCTGTAGTTTTGATAGTTTAGGAATGCCATGATGTAAACATTCAGGTAGGAAAGAGCTGCAAATGCTTTACGGAAACAGGTTTCTGTTGCAAAAACATCTAGAAGCTAATAAACATCTCAAGTAGAGCTTGATTATTGAGGCACCTTATGATATAGCCTGGTTTTAAAGACATGCCTCTAAGACTACATTTTCTGTTTCCTGGTGGAAAATAGAAAATTCAATATCATTCAGTGGAGTGAAAATATTTGTGAAAAATATTATTTTATCAACTTCACTCCTCCAGGTCTGTGCAATCCAACAGTTCTATAATTATTTTTCATTCTGCTGTGGTTCAAAAGTATTGCTTTTATTACATATAATAAACTAGGCAGACACCAAAAAATGTTTGCGGCACCAGCCACCTAAAAATGTGAAATTATGGTTCTGTAGATTCTCGTAAGAATTCCAGGGTGAAGCTGTGTGTGTGTGTGTGTGTGTGTGTGTGTGTGTGTGTGTGTGTGTGTGTGTGTGTGTGTGTGTGTGTGTGTGTGTGTGTGTGTGTGTGTGTGTTTTAATAGGTGACTGTAAAGGTAGCTGTACAGGACCCTAAAGTGTCACAGACTGTGGTAGATTATTTGTACTTACAGTTAGCTCCTTACACGTGGGCTCATACTTCATAAATCCCTGCATAACAAATAGGTGCCAGGTGGGCTCATGTTTGTGTGAGCAAGTGTTAGAACAAATTCCTGTAAAGCTGTGAATAAAATCATGTTGAAATAAGTCGATTTAAGTTGCAGATAGTAAATTGTTTGTAAAAAAAAAGTAACCATCAATTTTATGTCTTGCATATCTCCCTTTCTTTAAAGGAAGAATGTGAAACTTTTTGATCCAGTACATGTCGCCCTTTGCCACCAGCATTAACCCCGCCACGGAATGACCGTGATGTAAACACACGTACATGACATTCAAATAAGCAGTGAGTAGGCTGTGATATTCTGCTTTTCCTTTTCTTGACCTCGACTAAAACAGCTTTATACACAAGGCCGTCCCGTCCCTGTAAACATGATGTCAACACAACCCGACAACAATACAGCTGGTGGGTCCCACACTTCTCTCTCATTGTAGACTGTCATGACTCAGAGAGACACATAGGAGATACTTGATTTCTGCTGTTTTTATGTGTAAAATGTTGCACTTTTTTCCTTTAATTCTATTTACAGTCATAAATGTGTTCCTGAAAAGGACATGACATTGGATAATTTGTTCATTGTGTTATATATTCTCTACGGGGGTTTCTATTCATTTAAGCTTTGACTGAAGCATATCTCTTATGGTGTGTTTTTTCTCTGGCAGTACTTTATGAAGGAGCTTATCTCTTGCTTTGATGATCGAGTGGGCAAACAACACTAAGCTCACTAAAACAATTTTAAGCTTTTTGTCACTGTGTCCCTTTATGTATTTCTCATTACAGTTTTTAACTAAACACAATTGATAGAAAATGAATGAAGACCAATCTGAAGGCTGTGTGACAGCAGCAGAAGTAGGTATCTTAATCAGACGATCTTTACAGTATTTTGATCTCACATGTTAGACATCAGTTACAAAAGCCAGATATGGAGAAATAAAAGGGAAAAAAACGTCACGTACTGTGATGAGGTGCTGTTTAATGTAAGGCTAATTTACTCACTAGTGATAATTTGACAGTGTTTTTAATCATCACAGACTAGTCGCGTTAGCAAATATTTTTCTTAACTTATTTTCTATTTCTTTGCTAATGCAGCTGCTCTGCAATGATTACGAGCAGATTATTATGCTTGCTAGTAGAAAAACATTACGAGATGGGTGCTAAAATTCCATTTACAGATCACTCAGAAAGGCTAAAATAATAATGCTATTCTTATTCCACCTTCTTCACAGACAGTGAATCCAGATTAAATGCCTTGTCTCATACAGGGGGGACTTTTCATGAAGGAAAGTCTTGTGTATTGTGCACTCAGTTTTATTCCCAAGGTAATAAGTTATTCAGAGTATTTGACATTTTCAATGACCAGTTTTTGTGAGCAATACAAACAAGCCTGTGGAACTCCTTGTGTCAATACCTATGACATCTTAAATTGTTCATAAAGCTGAAGTATTCAGGTATTTGCTCTATTTCAGAACACCCTGCACTGACCAGTATTTGAGTAACCTAGAACACATTGTTATAAGGACACGTACTGTAAGTATCTCCAACAAAAGGAGCATATAGTAATTCTACTACAGTACGTTAGAGTAAAGAACATGTTCTTTTACTATGGCATTGCACACAAACGATCAGGTAAAAAGACTAAAAGACTTAAAAAGTTACAGTACCTTGGTGTCTTGCTGCCAATACATTTCTGTTGGACTATATTAACAGCCACCACGCCACACTGTGTGTGTCTGTGCGTAAGCAATGAGACATAATAGAAGCGCTGTGAAGAAAGTCAGACAGACTGGTTTGCTTTCATTGCAAAGTCCTTCTGCTCCATCAAGTATTTATACAATTATTTCTGTTTGGACATGTCTGTGTGCATTAGGGAGTGTGTGTCAGTGTGTGTGTGTGTGTGTGTGTGTGTGTGTGTGTGTGTGTGGCTGTGCTTTTTGTGGTGCTCTTGTGTCTTTTTGCAAGATGTTCTTTTGTGTGTGGATTCTTGTGTGTTTTGTGCAGGTTTCTCTTTGTGTGTGTGTACGTGTGTGTGTTCCTTTACCCTGGCGGACCTTGTCATGTCACAGTGACCAGAAAGCAATTATCAGTGTATTGCTGCTTTGAAGAGGACCTCCTCCCCCCCCCCGCTCTTTTGCTGAGAGAGAAAGAGAGAGAGGGAGAGAACAAGAGTTGCTGGAGGATAAGGGTGAGAGAGGGCAAACTAGGAAACAGAGAAATAGGAAAATAGAGTCACCATAAGAGAGCAAGTGGAAGAAAAAGATGAAGAAAAGAAGAGAGGAGCGAGACAATGAAGGGAAGAATGAGAGTGACGAAAACAAAAAACAAAGACTCAGAGCAGGAGAATGTCAGGCTGACATTGTTGGATCATTTTGAAAGCTCTCCAGAGCCACAGACACTGTGCCCTGCTACACTGCTCTGAAGGACCCTTAGACAACCCACTCAATATACAGGAGACACATACATATACACACACTCACACAAATACAAACACAAAGACCTTCTTTCACACACTCTTTAACCCACACTGCCAGACTGTTGGCCTGGCAAACACACACAAGAGCCCTCTTTACTTTTTTTGCATTTTTTACTTTTATTTAATGTTTTTTTGCTTTTTAAATTCAGAGAATTCAGAGAGCAATTGTGCACAGAACGTCTTTTTTTACAAACATCACATAAATACAGTATATATGCATGGAGCAGGCATTCTCTGTCATACCAATATCTGCATCACAGACCAGGACAGGACCTTCCTGACCATGGGGACTTTCATGACATGCCTGAGAGATATTAAAATTAAGTGTTTATTTTCTTCTGACTTAATGTGGATGTGCAATAACATCCTGTTTCTTGACTCTTCTGAATAAACAATAAACTCTGATAGTTATTTTGACTCCACATTTAGTACGTGCTCTCCTAAAGGAAGAATGTGCTACTTTTTGATCCAGTAGAAGTCATCCTTGAGCACCAGCATTAAACCAAAACAAACTGCTGTTTGGCGATTCTGAATCCTCCGCTCTCCTCCAGCGGCACACCTCCAATCACTCTCCACTAGTTTTAGCACAAAGGAGTTATCAATTAGAATGCACCATAATAGTTAAGCACCATTAAGCGCAAACGACGGAAAGAATTGTCCTTTGCTCGAGCTGCAATTGCCTATGGCCTCACTGTTGTGTTAGCATGCTAATGCTGTGAACAGACAGTGAAGGGAGGAAACAGTAGCAATACAGCAGCTACTCTGTGTCAGACACACAACAACAAAGCCTGCCAGACAGCGGAGTATTGTTTCATGGCTTCCCCTGAGCACAAATTCCCTCATACTCCCTTCTTCTTAACACACTCCCCTCCCCATGCTCTTCCTCTGTTTCTCATTTTCAACTGCTTCTTTATATCTCAGCTTTACCACATGGTTTTCTTTTCAACCCCTACTGTTGTTTGAGGTACTCTCGTGTTTCTGTGTTGAACTCCTGTCTCCTCCTCCTCCACCTCCTGTTTTGTTTGTGCTTACAATCTTGTCACTCTGATAGTTTCATTTGGTGTAGGGTTTCCTTTCTTTGCTCTAGTGTGAAATAACAATATTCTTAAAAAAAAAACCTCTGCCTACTGTACCTGTCTGTCTTTTCTCTCCTCTGTTTCCCTCTCTCTGTAAATCATACAGTGTAACAGCCTCTGGTGACAGACAGGCTTTAAGTCAGCGATACAGACTGGAAAGCTTTTTAAGCTTTTACAGCATCTTCAACGTGTCAAGTTAACTCAGATTTGTGTGTGTGTGTGTGTGTGTGTGTGTGTGTGTGTGTGTGTGTGTGTGTGTGTGTGTGTGTGTGTGTGTGTGTGTGTGTGTGTGTGTGTGTGTGTGTGTGTGTGTGTGTGTGTTTAAACAGCGCTGAGAGAAGAGCTGAGGCATTCCAGTGTGGAGTTGCAGAAAGTCACAGAACAGAAAGATCACCTAACTCAGCAGCTGAAGTAAGTGTCTACAGTGTGTGGTTTAACACACACACACACACACACACACACATACATATGAAAAGCATGCACATGTCATGCACATATGGGGACGCAGGTGGATCTTGGTATCTGTAAAATGCCGGGTGAAGAACAGGTCACAGCTGGGCTTGGCTCTTTGTGTAATTTCTTCCCCAACCAATTGAAACCTTCTGATTAGCCACACTGGCACCGCCCCATCCAGGAAATGCACACGTTCCACATACCAGGCCTTGTAAGCTTGAACAACAGAGGATTTGACTTATATACAATAACACTAAGGTCTAGTCAGAACTTTAAGACTTGAGAAAAATGTGCCCCTGTGGCATTTGAAAATATGCTGATGATGATGCTTTATCAGTTCAAACATTTCACAGCTCCTTTGAAAAAATCTGTTCTTACTCCTGCGTAATACCCTGACCTGCAGACAGACATACACAATAATAATAATAATTATAGCCTAATAATAAAGTTAAAAAAAAAAACAGTTTCATGCATTAATCTCTTTGGTGATCCCTTTGATTTTCATCTAGAGTTAGCATCAGGTCAACTGATGTTTACTTCTTTGAGAACAAATACATGATGTGTAAGGCGGTCATTTTAACAAACAGGAATAGCATCCAACCCATGATACAGTTGTTCGTTATGAGAGCTTAACAGTGCTGCATGCATGCCTCAAGAAATTGCTCATTTAAAGGAATTGGCTCTGAATGGGTTCTATCGGGTTTTTTTATGTCTAAAACTTTACTCAAATCTGTATCCAAAAATGACCTGTTTATCAACATCAAAAGTCCTGAGTTTAAATGTGAACCCATGTTTAGACAGAGAACAGGATGTGTTAATGTTTCTTGTTTTTTTTAAGCTTTGTTCCTTTAAACTTCAGAACTAATTACAATGCACACTGAATTCAGGGTTTTCTCTTAACAGCCCACAATCTACTGTCATTACAAGAGTAAGAAAGCCGGTTATTGTTTTTGTAAAGTTTTACTGTCCATGAATTTTTTTTTTAGCTGGATCTGAAATGCATTCATGATTTCATATTGAGTCCAGACCTGATACTGGATTGAAAAAAAACAGGGGTAATGGTTTTCTGAGATTTACATGTTACTCATTCTACGATAAGTAATGGTTTTTAAAAAAAAAAATTTATCATCATGCCAATGTTGTTGTTTTTTTGTTGTGTGATTAATGGAATCCTTCATAATATTTAAAAGATCAACCCACACAAAAACACACAAACATCCCCAACTCACAAAGGGAGTCGATGTTAAAGTGGCTTTTATCTGGTAATCAGAGAATTAAAGGACTACTTGACCTGACAGGCTGCAGATAAAGCGCTCATTTGTTCACTAATGTTTCCTCCTAACTTCCTCATCAGT